TACAGTTTTTCAGCACATTAACATTTTTCTAATGTGATGCCTGATTGATTGCATCAAATTATTAAGAATTGTTTGTCAATTTAATTTAATTTGTGATATACAAATTATTTATTGTGAAATACGGTATGTATGCATGTACATATGTACATGCATATAAAATTTAGACCGTACGTGCGAGAACACAATCGATAAACTAGAAGACTATATCGGTCGAAGCTGGATCTTTAATGCTTAAATAATTGAATGTGAATTATATAGTATATAATTCACATTCAATTATTTAAGCATTAAAGATCCAGCTTCGACCGATATAGTCTTCTAGTTTATCGATTGTGTTCTCGCACGTACGGTCTAAATTTTAGAGTAAGTAGATGCGTAATAGCTTGCTTTTAGTGCATTTTAAATCCATCTATACATTTCTTAAAAATAATAATTTTTCTTTCAGATATGCAGACGACACTTTTGTGTGACAGACATATGATAGGATCATTGAACAAGTCATGAGTTTTAAGTATCTCAAAACAGAGACCACAAGCAATAGGAACTTCCTTTCAAAGAAAGTAAACACTCAAGTCAACAACGCCGCGCAAATATCTAAGGTTACCTAAGGGAAGTGATATGGAATAACAAGTATATGTCGATCGACAATAAAATAAGAATATATGTATAAAACCTACATACGTCCAATACTGACCTATGCTGCTGAAACCAGAGCCGAAACCGCGATAACGGAGACTAACGCGAACAGCGGAAATGAAGCTACTCAGAAGCATAAAAGATGTAATACTAAGAGACAGAAAGAGAAGTCAGGATATACGAGAGGAATGCGAAATTCAAGACGTGATGAGATTCATGAGATCGAGGAGACGTCGCCGGAGAGAACATGTGGACAGGATGGGGCCCGATCGATTAATAAAATGAGTAAGATCGGAGATTCCTACTTTTAGACGACCCCTCAGAAGACCACCCAAAAGGTGATTTTGCCTATGGTATAAAGACAAGGGTATGCTCACGTGCATGCTATACGCATGCGACCAATCAAAATTGTCAAAGTGTGACATCACAGATAAGCGGTAAATTTAAAACTGCTGTTTCCAAATAGCTTCTGTTAGCAGCATGCTTGTCAGATATATCATTTTTATTTCGAGTTTATAGGAAAACTCTGTTTTAAAATAATATTTTATAAACTATATATATAATAAAAATATTCTGTAACTTAACTAATAAATATCTTGTACTTTTCTTTCGACGGCAATATGAAGCATGATGCATCGAAGTGTTGAGAACATATCATAGCTGAACACGAGCAAAATTATATATAGTTTACTTCGTTACATTTATACATTTACAAGAAATAAAAAATCTAACCTTCTTTGATGTTAATGTTTTGTTTTCCGCGTGCTACAACCCACTTAGCTGCGATCATAAAATCTTTTGGAAACGAAAAATATTTTATGCTGTTCCCGTTAAGCAATTTTGTTTTCCGAAAATAATTGCCACAACCTTTCACGGAACAAGACATTACATATGTAATATTCATAATTAAAGAGGAAAACAAACTCAATTATGCGTTTTTACTGAAATCATGTTTCTCCGGATACAAACATTAAGGACCAGGGGCTACCATGTTTAATCGAACCATTCGGACGATCTAATTGGCTCCGAGTGTGACGTCACTTTGATTGCTCAGTGGGTTATCACGTAATGAGCATATCCTTGTCTTTATATCACGATTTTGCCCGAGAGCTGAACTTCTACCTCGCAAGAAGGTCAAGAGAACAGAAGTATGTAACTGTAGGACATAATCCTAATGATAAAAAGAAGAAGAAGAACTGATTATCGCGTAGTTATTTACTCACACTTGTCCATACTTATTATATTCGAAATTATATTCGAAAAATAAACTGTATATTTCATTGGTCCGCGACTTTCTAGTTACTCTGTATGTTAAATTAACATATTTTATCTTACAGTTTACGTTTAAAATATGTATATAAGTTTCATGTTATTTATTCATTTACTTTTTTTGTACTTTAATCATTCTTATTACACATTGAGCATAATGTCGTTACAGAAATATATAATTTCTAGAACGTTATGATAATACAATATATAATATATATAACAAGAATTATTGAAACACGAAAATGTTTATATTTTGGGGGAACAAGATTAAATAGACTAAGAATTTATTTTCTCATTTCTAGTGGTTATGGTTTACCCTCAACTCATGTGTGTGTGCTCGCGTGTTACCAAATATTATATAATGTATATAAAATGTCATTTTTTGCACATTTCTTTTAGCTATCAATTCTTTAAAGAAAATTGCCTTAATTTAAAGTAAAAACCATTTACTGACTGGTACCGTTACATTAATAATTTTTAAATTATAAGCGATTAATAAAAAAAATGTAAATTTTTGAATTTTAACGTAATTACAATGATGTTAAGAATTGAGAAATTAATTTTCCATTTTCACACTAAAAAGAAATCAACTTTAAATTGATTTAAGATTTAAGATTCTATCATTAAAAAGTAGGTAATGTGCAAAAGATAAAAAATATCCTGCGATGATAAAATTATTGTATATTATCTTTTGTTTTTGCCTTCGTTTTAGAAGGAAGAAATCCATTTTGAAATTTTGGATGAAAAATCCTATATAAAACTTTATACTTTTAGATTTTATATGCAAAGAAGGAGAACATTTTTATTTAAGATATTTTTATTATAAATGTAAATGTAACTTAGAAGTTACAAACATTAAAACAATAGTTGAGTTGGTTTATAAGGGATTATTTTTTTATTTCATTTACTTTATGAAATATATCCAAATTGTTAATCGTTTATTTTTAAACGTTTATTTAAATCTGAATTTTAATTTATTTAAAATAAATTCTAGTAACCTAAGTAGAAAGAAATGCAAATTTGCGTATAGATTGTGTATGAATTTAAAACAGCGATTTGAGCAATACTTTAATGTTAACTTGGATGCTATCATGGTAACATCTCACGGCGCCGTTGTACCGACAAACTGCCCAAATAATTTTACGCGCTGTCTGCCTGTGATCCCAAGATACGCCAAGAACTTTGCGACATTCTGTGGTTTCACCGCCATCGTTCACACGGGTCATAGAAGCTAACCTCTCGCTCGTAATTTGCATGCAATTGTTCCTAATTTGTGCTATAATGATATCTAATTAGAATATATGTACATGCATGCATATACGCGTTCACCTGTACGAGAAAATCAATTCAAAATATTACAAATAGGAAGAATAAACGTACGGCGCTTGATAGGAAGAATAAACTATATGAGCGCTTGAATTTTTATAGGGTACGCCGGTATATACGCCGCACCTATCAAAAACTTAATTTATTAAGTATTATTTACTATGTGTAAAATAAATGAACTATATCAATAAAAACTTTGTACTGTGTACTACTATAAAAAAAATATTAGAAATCCGAAATATTTATTTTTCGTATTAAAAAATAAACTTTTTGAAACCCTTGCATTTTTGCCATATATCCCAGAGGTGGGAATTCCTATAGGAGTAAGGGGGATATGTACGGCTCATGAAGAATTTACAAATAATGCATATAAATAAGATGTAAAATAATACAATAACTTATAAAATGCGTTTATACAGTTTTATTAAGGAATAAAAGTGATAAATATGTATATGAAGTAATAAATAATAATTACAATCTTCCTATATATGTATAAGTGTTATGACAAGTGGTACATATTTCATGTAATGCGTTTATTACATTTAGTGCACTGATTTCAATCTACGCACTTTGGCGGGATTTATGTCCAAAGCATAAATTCCGCCTACTAAAAATGCCGTATATCTCAAACAGGTGGGATGTAGAAGACAACAAACTAAACAAAGAATACGAAAGCAAAGCACTTGTATTTTGTTATACAATATGCTTTACTATTCCTCTACACGTATGTATCATAAAGTAACCACTAGGTCTTTTACACGCCCTATGCTAACAGCAATCGTTTTATGTAGATTATAATTTATGATGATGCTACTTATTACAGTGACAAATCGATTCAACTCACAATATTTTCATTAACATTAACAGTAAGAAGCTGAAATTATAACTCAATACTAATATAACATAAAGGCATGTAACAGAGTAGTTGCGAGAAAACCTCCTTACACTCCTTCTATTTTTTCTGACTTCTGCGGCGTGAATCCCAGCGCGGCGTATTTACCGGAGTTACCCTATATTAAATTAACAGGACATAAAGAATTTCATGTCTCACATATTATATGTCACTATCTATCTATATATACATATATATATAATATAATATATCTATTATTTTAACTTTTTCATAATGCAAATACAGTGTTTCACAATGCAGTGTTGACAGATAATATATTCATGGAAATGCAATTAATGTGACCTACGCACGCCAAGATTCTTTTTTTTTCCACTGTAATCTTGTTACGTCCAAGCCTTAAGATTTTTTATTTTAAAGAGGTTTTCGGGGTGAGGAGAAAATCATTGAAGAACATAATTGAAATCCTTCTTCTGTGGCCAACATTCTGGGACGCCTGTTACACATCAAATGCATTTGTATAAAATCCTAGATATGGATCAATGTACCATATGACATGCTATAACGCCATCTGAGACAACTCGGACTTTTAAAGATTTTGGTTAAAAACTGAACGCATGCATTCACGCACGCACGCACGCACGCACGCACGCACGCACATGAGCAGGGAACAGATCTGTGCAATCTTATTCCAAGTTATAGAAGCTGCCTTATGCGCGCTGAGATGTTTATTGTAAATTATGTTTATATTCATATTTACTTTCTAATATGTCATCAGTACTTATATAAAGCTACGTACATTTTATTTAGATAAAATTTTTTAATATCTCATCATTGTATTAATATAATATTTTAGTTTAAGGCGAAAGAATAAGAAATACTAATATTAAATATAATACGTATTAACGTTTATACTTACCGCATCGGTTTAAACAATGCCTGCATGTTGTCGCCGTAATCAATAACTAGTTTTAATTGTGTACCACCGTCTTTTTGAACTATAACAAAAAATCATAATAAATCTTTAGATCTTTGGCACTTTTTGTAAACGTATTTAGCTAACAATTATTATTTTATACCACCTGGTACAAAACGAAAATTGATGTGAAACTATAACATTAATATAATAATAATACATTTCTAAATATGTATATTGAATATATCAAATATCAAATATATATTATAATTAGTGTAGCTATTGGTTATACTACAGTACGTGTAATTAATTATATAAGGTGAAGTTATATAAGGTGAATATTTTAATGAATTATCCTAAATATTTCAATTATTTTTCATCTTTAAAAATATTTTAAATGGAAGTTTTACAGTTTGAAGAGAAAGGTAATGCATAAAACAAATTTTTGTAATATGCATTTTTTAAAAAGTATTAATATGATTAATTAGACAGACATTCCTTTAAATGAAACCGTATGATTTTTTTACATACATTTAATTTTCTCTTGCTCTTTAAAAATGAATCAGTGTATTATTATTGAAAGGCAGTAAATATTCGCTGATGATTACATCAGTTATAAGTGTAGCAATGAAGTCACTGATTCACTTTAAGAGAATATTCTTTATATATAAACACAAATAATAAAATAATCCAATTAAGATCCAATCTAGTTAACAATTTTTAAAGAGATTACATATTTTATTTTGACATAAAACGTTTATTTCTCGTTAATATCTTACTTTTTTATGAATATAATAAGGAAAAAATCGTTTGATATAAAACAAAATATAATTGAATTTATAAAGAAGAACTCACGTTACTGCACATTGTAATTAAAATAATTCACTGTATAGAGAGATAATAATATTTATATGTTTAAACTAGTGATTCTTCAAAGAGGAGAAAGGGAGAGAGAGAAGAGAAAGAGAAAGAGAGAGAGAGAGAGAGAGAGAAGAGCTTGTATCATAAAAAAATCTTCAATAAGTAACATGAGTCAATAATTCGTCGAGGATTCGTCGCGGTCAAATAATAAAACGTCCGTCGTCTGTGGTCTGAATTAAATATGCAATATTCACGAGATTAACAGTCGGGACTGTGAAATCGATATATCTAGCGAAAAATAGAACTAGGTTTGTCCGAGCAAGTCGCCATATTGTGTGACAATATATTATTGAATAAGTATACATACGCCGCTATTAGCAATTTTGTGATCAGGAATGTGTATTAAACTATTATTAATTAATACAAATTGAATAATAAGAGAAATCTGTAAATTTTATGTAACATATTATCTATGTATATAGGATGTTTGATAATTCTGCCGCTTGTAGGCAGGTAAAGCGGACTAAACTGACAGTGAGTCAAAAAGTCCTGTATCATTTTCGTGATAGTTAATAAGATATTATTTACTAAATCGCTGAATATTGGTTTTCAATAATTTTTTACTCAAATACTATCAACTTTACAAAAAAACAGCGAGAGACAAAAATTGTTTATTTTCTTCTCATAAAGAGTTCTGAGATTTTTTTCAGAATTTTTTAATACCGTATTTTCTCATGTTGGTAAAAATAATTGATAATATGAAAATGCAATACTAAAAGGTTGATAAAAAATTCTGAAAAAATTCTTAAAGTTCTATGAAAAGAAAATAAACAATTTTTGTCTCTTGCAGTGTAAAGTTGATAGTATTTGAGAAAAGAATTATTGAAGATCAATTGTATATGTGCTTATTCATTATAATGTGATTAATTAATCAAAATAGTTAGCGATATAATTACCATTTTTGAGAAATACTTTAAGTTTATTTCAACAAGTTTGTAATCTGTAAACAGATTACAAAACTCTTAATAAATTTTAAGTACTTACTTCAGAAATGATATTTAAATATATGTTTAATTGATACTTACATAATATTTAAATTTATTATATGTCGACATAATAAATTTAAATATTATTTAAGTATCAATCAAGTATATATTTAAATATCATTTTTGAAACACTAAAAATTTTTTGGTAACATTTCAAAAAGATTGCAGATTCTTTCTGTAATATTTCATCAATTTTTCAACAGATTTTATGTGCAAGAATCGCGGACATTTTGATATTCCAGAGCTGTCTCAGACATATTTCTCAATTTTTACGAAATGTTTCACTTTTCAGTTGAAATATTTCTGAGATATTTCTGAAAACTTTCTGTGCTATATGGGTAGTTAGACCATATAATTATCTATTTCTTCATCATAGCTAATTAAATAAATTTTTTTAATTCTCAATTGATAGAAATGGAACAGAATTTTAATTGTTACAATAAAAGTTTTATTCATTTGTCTTCATCAATGTTTGCTTTCTCATTTTGTTTAAATTTGTAGTATCATTATTATGTAAAGATCTTCTTGTTAAGTCTATTCCATAAATGTTAAAACTATAATATAGGATGGGCATAAAACTATTATCACTCATAATTCAATATAAATAAAAATATTAGTTAAAACTATAGAAAAGGGGAGCAACCGCCGATGACCTTGACACACGACTTTCCATGCGAAGCGAGTTCCATCCCATCTCGCCAAGTTGCATGGAAAGTCAACTGCCCCTTGATAGGGGGAAAGGTGGGATGGGAGTCGCTTCGCATGGAAGTCGTACACCCCATAGGGAGAGGTGAGGTGAGAGTCTCTTCGTATGGAAGTCGTCCCCTAAAGCAGGGGTGGAGGTGGGGTGAAAGCTGCTTCGCGTGAAAAGTCATTACGTAAGCAAGGAAGGATATAGCATAGTTTTTAATATTATATGTAACAGAAATAAAATATTATTTTCAAACTTTTTGTTAATAACTCTTTTAATGAATGACGAGCGATGGCTAAAACCTATTGAAAGTCACTCAGGATGATGACCTTAACAACACATGTCAAGGTCAAGGTCATCGGCGGTTACTCCCCTTTTCTGTAGTTTTACCTATTATTCTACTCACCGACATGAAGAATCGACTTGGTCGCCATCTCATGAAGTAATTGGTCCACATACTTTGAATCTTCGGAGTATAATTGCAACCTCGAGATTTGAAAATGGAATTTCTCCAAAGTGGTGCTATTTTTTCTGCAATAAAAGAATTTTTTTTCTACAATACTACACGTTTGTATTAACATGAAATGTATATTGAAATTATACAGGCATTATGTATACAAATTAGTAATATACATCAAAGAAAGGAAGTACGCATTACTTGTAACGTCGTTATTTTTGATTGTTACTTTGTTATAACAACAATTTGGTAATGACGTTGTAAATTCTTTATCAGGAGACACGATAATATCTCGGCGCTAACAGAACGCGTAGCGATTAGCACGAGACTCACCGTGTAACTTTATGTGAATCAAGTTTTTCAGTATCGCGATTATCGTATCTCAATAAGAGCTGAAAAATGCGGCTGTCGGCCTCGTGAATCGAGTTAAGCGTTAAAGTTCAAGACTTTAGAGATTAAGATATCTGTCATTTCGACTCAATATAGCGCTATGGTATACGTTCTGCTTTAATTACACAAATTCTTTGCTTCATAAACACAAATTTAGTGCTTTAAAAACATAAATTCACTGCTTTAAAAACAAAAATTGACTGCTTTAAAAACATAAGTTCATTGCCTCAAAAACACTACTTTAAGCACACGCATCAGCAGTGAATTTGTGTTTTTAAAGCAGTAAATTTGTTTATAAAATAGTGAATTTGTGTTTTTAAAGCAACGAATTTATGTTTTTGAAGAAATGAATTTGTGTTTGTGAAGCAGAGAATTGCGAACATTGCAAAATAGTAGAGGACTTTCGACTCAGTGTAGTACGCTCTATCAGCACGCGAAATATTTGGCAGTCATTCTAGGGCACCTTGTATATAAACGTTTGGTGTACAAATATGAATTTATGTGAGGTGTTAAAATATCAAATATTGGCAAGTTTAGATTGTACCTTCAAGGAGATCAAGGTTATTGACCTTTTCCGTCGCTCGTTATTGATTAAAAAGTTATTAACAAAAAAAGTTTGAAAAAAAGATGTCTCCTTTTCACTACTTACATAAAATAAACATTTCCTGTTTTAAAATATACATATTTTACGACTTTTCACGCGACGCCAGTTTCATTCCATTTATCCCTCTACCAAGAAGCGCACGACTTAACCTCTTCTTTAATTTCATACAACTTGAACCGTTCTTTTCGCTTTCTCGATATAAATCGTACTTCGTATGCGTTCCGATATAGACCGATCTTCATGCTTTATGAGAAATAGATCGCCTTTCATTCATTTCTTGACATAGACCTTTCTTTATGTTTTTTTTTTTTAGATATAGCACCTTTTACGGCTCAGGCGTCGATGTACAGGGTGATCCGGAATAACCCAGGTATCCTTAAAAAGACGTATTTCTGACTTAATTCTAAGACGACTTTTCCTTTACGAAAATTTTGTCTGAAGCTTAGTTTTCAAATTACAAGAGGAAATAGATAGCGTATCACGGGCCTCGTACAGGAGACGGACAGGAGCGGCGCTCACGGTATAATGCGGGCGCTTTACGTGCGGGGCGCCTACTGATATCGAACACATTCACGTTTATAAAAACACGTTCGTTTCTCACCTTTTTCCTCTATCGCACTATCTCTTTGTCTTTCACATACTTTAAATATGCAAATTTCGTTAAGTTATAAATTAGAATTATGAAATTGAAGTAAATATTGAACCCTTTGAGGATTGTCGGATTGTTTTTAAGTACTGATAAAAATTGTTGGGACTATGAATACCGTCCTATGTCTTTAGTGGAAATACTTGAAGTTCTTATATAGTTCCAATCGCCAATGAAGATATGCTACGCCAACGCATCTTTGATGCTCGTGACACCATTTGCAATTGCTCCGGGATCTTTGAAAGAATGCGACAGTCCATAATCCGAAGTGTCTAAACGTATATTAAATCAAATGGGAAATATTTCGAACATTTTTATAATTGAAAGTTGAAAATAAATAATATTAAATAATGAGCATTACTTTCTTATTTTCCCTTATTAGGAAACATTTTGAGCTGTATCTTAGTAACAGTGAGTTTTGCGAACATATAAACTTTTTTTCATGTCTTGTTGTGGGAGCTCGGCTTTGAAGTTTGTTACTTTATTTTAATTATACTCTGTATAATAAGTTTTGTATTTTATTTTACATTTAATTTTGTATTATAATTAAATCATAATTAACACATGAAATTTTTAGAGATAATTATTATTAAGTTACAAAAAATACTTTGTAGAGTTCGTTATTAAATCATTTTTGAACGGAAAAAACTTTCAATTGCATAAGCTTAAACTGAGTAACTTATTACGGAGCACATCGGCAGTTTTTTATTAAAATTCATCTCATGGCTTTCTCACTGCTATACCCCTGCTCCCAATTCCATTTCTACCCCAACCTAAAATCTGAGTACTTGTCGATATCCAGTTACGACGTGTTTCCAATAAAAATCCGCTACTTTTGCTAAATAAATCATTTTATCGTAGCATTGCTGAAACGTCCTTATAGTCACATTTCGATATTACTGTTTTCAAGATTTGAATAGACAATAGATTTATAATTTTAAAAATCATTTTGATTTGTAGATTAATGCCATGTTTATTTTGATATTAATTTTAATTAATGTATTTTATTATTTTTATTTATTGATTTATTTATATTGGGTACTGATTTATTTGTAATCAAATTAATGTATTAATTTCTTTTTCCGGGAAAAAATTGTTTTATATACTATATAACAGAATTGGTAAAAAAACATGTTTTAAACGTGTTTTAAACAGTTTAAAACATGCTTAGTTGATGTTTTAAATGTTTTTTTAAGTACTGTTTAAAGCATATTTGAAGCATTAAAAACATATTTAAGAAGAAACACAATATTTTATTTAAAAAAAAAACATTAATTTTTACCAACTCTGATATATAATTATATGTGTAAAATTATATAAAATTATATGTAATTATATATAAAATTGACATATTTTATATATAATTATATATTTATATAATATGTGTGTTATTGAATATGGAAGGAGATGTGATCATCGATCTAAATTAAAACGAAAATAATTCTAAAGGGTAATAACCTGAGAAAAAATGTTATATATATAACAACATTTTTTCTCAGGTTATTTAAAATGTCATGTAAAATCACATCTCCTTCCATATTCAAAACGTTTGGGCCTGAATGTCAGTCCGAAGATAACTCCGAGATATTTATATCGTGTCACTGAATGGTTAGTATGCAGTAAAAACTCTGCTATGATGCTTCTTCATTTTTCTTGGAGGTGGAAAGTAGATGCGACATTTCTATGCAAAGGTTTTTCACCGTCATAAATTATATTCGTTATATATTATAGTTAAATCACATAATATATAATTATCTTATTGATACATATTTTTATAATTTACAATTTAGAACTTAAAATTCACTTAACTTATCAAATACATAAAAGTATATATTATATATTTTATTGTATGTATATATTACATTTAAAATTGCAAAATGCTAGATGTATTTCGTAATGTAACTCTATATTTGATATTTAATATTACTTTACTTCAAGGTTAGTTTAAAACAAGTACCTTTTAGTGTTCATTATGGGTTATGGTTAAGAAAATATGATATGAAAATATAGGGTTTATTCCGAAAAAGCTGTGACTTAGGTTACATTAATATTTCATCAAACATATATATAGTTGTCAATTACATGTATTTAAATTTAAGAGTTTCTTTAGCCCTAAAATACGAATATGATGTCAAAATTGACAAATTCAAAATGATGGGTTCAATATGACTGACATCAAAATTAAAAAAATATTCGTTGTGAAAATTTATGTATACATATCTTTTATAATTTTGAATTTATAAATTTTGACATCAGATATATTCGTATATAGCGATTAAAAAAAATTCCAATTAAGTTTAAATAAACATAATAGAAAACTATTTAATAAATTGTCAATGATCTAATTTACAGCTTTTCCGCAATAAATCTTATATTTAACTATAAATATCTTATTAAGAATAACAATTACTAAATAATTCTTCTGAGGGTTAAATATTCTAATGATATATACTTAATTTTGATCATAATAAAACTTCACACAAATTATAGTTGTAATATGACAAAGTATGTCTAAAATGAAAAATAATCCTCTTCTGAAACTTTAATTGCAAATTTTTCAAAGTATTCTTTCTGATGTTTTGTTTTATTAAATAGTGATATCCTCCTATGACCAATAAATTATTAAATCTGAGGCTTCTCAAGTTTACAAAGTTGTAAACAAATTGAGACGATTGATTAAGAATTTCATAATTAGACTATTCTCTCTCTCTCTCTCTCTCTCTCTTTCTCTGTCGATTATAAGGGATGTCGACGACGTCGTCGCAACGTCATCCCGCGTCTCTCGAACTGCAAACCGAATCTCTAGATTGAGTTCTCAGCGAACACACGTGCGAGCGAAACTAATCCGCGACTTCTTCCTCCCCTCCCCCCTTTTCACCCATCTCCCTATTCCTTTCTCGATGTCGATGTCGGAAACTCCGTCGAGACTAAGTCTTAAGCCTGGTTCTCATGTATAACGCGTAGCGATCCCGAAATTAGCTCAGAAACGAGAGGTTCCTATATATTATTGGATTAGTACATATTTAGATTCCTCGCTTCCTATTTTCCTAAACCCACGAAATCCTCAAATTCTTAAATTCCTCATCTATAATAAAAGAAATTAGTAACTGTAAAATTGAAATAATTTAATAATTACGAGATAATAATGAGAAAAAAATAATAAATTCTCCACTAAATTTTGTTTCTATAACTGAAACTCGCATCAAAATCGAAAATGCAATCAGAAACGGAAACTTGAGAGGGGTGTGATGAATGCAAAAATATAAGCGACAAACTGAATTAATGCGAATCGTGTGTGGACAAGACGTAATCAGTCGCAGCGTGCGCACATGAAAGGCTGACCTAAGCCTTCGTTATTGCACATGTACGCGTCCGTGAAATCGCATTAGTGATCGCGTATATATTGAGAACGAAAGCGAGCGAGATTGTATATC